TTCCCGCTGAAAAGTCAATTTTCACAACATATATATAATTTTGCGGAAATTAAGAATAGTTGAAGGTCTATCTAACAAACACCGAACTATGACTTATTAAGTCCCGAAAGATCTTAGTGGATGATTTTAGGACAAAATATAGTAAGTTTAATTTGTCCTTCAAAATATCCAAGAGATTCCAAAGTGTTCGAGGAATGAACTTGAACTACTTTAAAGATCTCTTGAAACATTTGAGTTCATTTTGAGCTTATCATACTGCTTTAGTAATCATCTCAGGTCAAATTAAAATTACTCCACTACTCGGTGAATCTTGACGTTTTAACTATCCCGAAGACACGGTACTTCACGATACTTAATTAATCAGTTAATATTTCACTTAAGAGTTATGTGAGACAATGACCCTAAGGCAAGTTTAGGTCATTAAAGATTTTTTATACCTACCACTAAAATTGGGCTTGCAGTTCTTAGAAATGTCTATCATTAATCATGTTATCCTTCTAAATTTCATCAAATGAATTTAAGTATCAAGCCTAGATCACTACCAAGCCCTTAACAATCTTAATGGGAAAAAGATTAGCAAATGTTAGAATTTCAATTCAGGTGGTGTATATCTTGATTAAAGGATCAGATCATCATCAATTATTTCAATTCAGGTGGTGTATATCTTGATTAAAGGATTAGATCATCATCAATTATGGACTTAACGTAAGTGAAATATCATCTCCCTAACTTATGCCCATCACCTGAAAATCATTTGATTTTGATCAACTTCCAAGTCTTGATAGTTTAACAAGTTATATTTTTATTCTTATTATAACAATGTGGCAAATTGGTTTCTATCAGTTAACACATTATGTTTCAATCATTCAAACATATTCATTAGGATCAAAATTACTCATTTTCCCTTTCGTTAATCTTAAATTTTAATTAACACACAAAAGTCTAAAATGATCATTTTGCTCTTGGGGCTCTCCCCACCTCATAACTCATCAAGCATAATTCAAATGATTTTAAAATTTTTACAATGCTCTATCCATAAAGTAATTAAAGCATCTGAGGAGAAAATGTGGTTTTCAAATTTGAAAACCACATTTGATTTTTCCTAAGTTCCTAAGTTCCCCGGATCACAATGAACTCAAAAATAATTTTTATTTTTCCTAAGTTCCCCGGATCACAATGAACTCAAAAAATCACTTTCATAATTTTTCTAAGTGTGTTTAATTTAATATAATTATTTTTGTACAAAAGTATAATTTTTCTTAAAAAATCAACTTTAGTGCTCAAACTTAATCAAATAAATTTCATATTTTTATAGTGAGTTGACATGATTTTTACACACAATGTGGAATTGATTTTGACAATTTTGGATTAATATTGAAATTTGCATAAATTAATACAAGATATACACACTTAATTAAATACAAAAATGTAAAAAATTATTCAAACCATCATAATATTTTTCGTAGGCTTCTCTGACCATAGGAAACCTACTAAATTTTATCCCATAATTTTTCAAGTGATATTTCAATTTATGTAATTAATTTAAACCAAAATAGTCATCTTATCTTGAAAATTAGAATTAGAAGCACAAAGATGTTATCTGACTTTGGAAAAATCAAAGAACATAGCCTCTGTCATGAGGAACAAACTCTGAAAATTTCAAGCTATGGAGAGCAATGCTTAGCCATAATGAATTGAAATACCACAGAGAGTAGTTAATTAATTAAAAATCAAAGAGTCAATAAATAAATTTTATTTTTGTCCACATTATTCTCCTCTGTTCACTGAACAATAGTGTATTTTTAATTTATTTTAATGATTTTTCTTTGCAAAGTTATGGATTTTTAAAGGCCTGATATTTAATTAATTCAAATAAATCCATATTTTTCTATTTAAACCAAGCGGCGCCACCTCAACCTTAGCATCTTCGAAGTCTCCACGCGACGTCTTCTGGTTCAACGCCGCCGTCTGAGTCAGCGCTGACTCCGCCCGCTATCACGCACCAAGAACCCGTCCGACACGATCTCGTCCATCCGCCCGATACACGCGCGATCAGACGATCCTCCGTCATCGTCCCCGATGAACCAAACCAGTGAGATGTCCAACTTCCAGACCTAAGATCTCGTTCGATACTCAACCAAATCAAGTGTGATTTGTCCCTACACCTTCATCTACTTAAGTTCATCTACTTCATCTACTTAAGACGAACACATCCATATGGTTACAATGCTATGAAATTAAACTTCACTTCACATTTGGTGAAAATCGAGCTCAAGATTAGGGTTAACGACCTATAACTTTGTCTGAGAGGAGAGGCCTCAATCAGATGCTTATGGCAGCTTCAGTGGAGTCCAATGAACCTTCTAGATGTATTGGTTTCCTCTGGTGTAAGCTCCAAGTAGAAGTTCAATGAAATGGGGTGCGGCTTTGGTCTAGGAGTGGTTTGGAGAGCTCAACAGAGGGGGATTTCAGTGGGAATCTTCCTCTCTTCCTCTGGGGAAGCTCAAGAGTTGTTCAATTTGGAGTTTGGGAGAGTTTTAAGGATGGTCGAAATTTGTCCTGATTTTGAGCTCAAAGATTGGGCTCAGGTGGTGGGGAAATGGCCAAGATATGGTTGCAATGGGCTTAAGGAGTTTTGGAGGAGCTCTGAGAACAATTTGGCAGAGTTTCCCCAATAAATTAGGTTCACCCTTTTTTTTTCCATGAAAGAGAGGTTTAAATAGAAGGGCTTAGGGTGGCTACCAGGGCTTCAAATTAAGTGCATGTGGAATTGAGGTGGAGGGTTCAAAGTGCTAAAGGCCAACCAGAGCTGGGCACATTGGATGGGTGTAATGGGTTTAGTTTTAAGGGGGGTTGCTCTCGATTTTAGGGTTTTACGGCCATTAGGCCAGCTGGCCAGAGCAGAGGAGGTACTCAGGTGGCTCAGGAACATCAGAAGAATCTGTCACAACAATTAATTTGGGTTGGTGATGGGTTTTGACAAAGATCTCCTTGGTTCAATTATTTTAGGAAAGGAATCCCTTATTTAGGGGACCTTTGGTCCATGGCTCACATAGGGTGGGTTAGATGGAACTAGATTGGTCACTAGAGTCCACTTGGTGGCCGTAGTGGTCTTAGGTTGACCACTTTGGCTAGGTTTAGTCACATTTTGGTCATGGGTCAATTTTGGGTTCAAGTTGGTCTAGATTGGACCAATGATCCCAGTTGAATACAATTGTGTAAAATTTATAAAGTTGACACAATAAAATTGAATCCGCTTTACAACGGTGCCAAAAAATTGATGTTGTATTTTATGAATAATAACGTTAAACACTTAATTTTGGGATCATGTTGGGATCCTACACAAGTATATGTATCGTTATCAAGTAATATAAAACTTTCTATTTAAGTCCCAAATATTAGTCCACGAGAAAGATTTAAATTTTGAGATGATAAATTAACTAAAAAATTCAAATAAATAAAACAAAATTACTGTCACTAATTTTAAATGTTTGAGATACTATCAAAACTAAATTATGAACTACAAGCAGTGAGATACTATCAAAACTAAATTATTAACTACAAGCGGAATTTAAATGTAGAGTTTAAATTAATAAATACTAAACTATGTTTATGTGATGAAATTTTCTAATATAAAAAAACATCTTTCCCACTACACTGAATTTTTCGTGAAATGAAATGAAATAAATGGTTTAAATTGAATTGTTTCGAATCCTAAACAGAGAATTATTAAATTTATTTTTTTCTTAACTCTATTTTACGCAAGTGTAGTACGAAAGTTTGACAAAGCATAAGTGGAATTGGGCTGATGTTACATCCGGTGTAGCACACGATTTAGCAAATGCATAAATAGAAATACTGAAAGATTTATGCATAAGCCTAACTTGAGCAATCTAGTTTCTCAAGTTTTTGGCTCATTTTAAAAATGAAATGTTTGTGCTCATATTTAAAATTTTTGTGAAAAATGTTTTTTTTTTTTTTTTAGCTTGCAAAATGAATATGAGCCAAACCGGAGCATTATTTACAAATAAAAATAAATAAATATTGAACAAATAAAACATATTTTTTTTTATTTATCTCTTAAATAATAAATAAATCTAATAGATATAAAAACTAATATTATATTTGTATTTATTTCAATACAACAATGAGCAATCGAACAAAAAATTTGTGTCCCACTCATTTAAAAATTAAGATCCAAACCTGCTTGTGCTGCTCGTCTCCAGCTTGCTTGATAACCATATCAACCATCAGCCTTCTAACAAGCCAAATATAATTTGCTCACTTGGGATGAACGTTTTCAATGCCACTATCTGGAGATTTGTAAGAGAATGAATACCACTGAGCACTAAAGAAATGAAATTTTGTATTGAACTAAATTTCTTTATTGATGCAATTTTCATTTAAAAATAAAAAATCAAACATTGACTTAAAATTACTTTAAAGTGTTACTCCATTTTTTGACATTTAAAGACAAAGATAGGGCACAAATTTCCGATATGGGACTAAATGAATGAGATCATTATATGCTAAGGTAGCAGATTTTGTAATGAAGAATTCTACTTTATTCATAGCTTACCTTACCCATGTTTAAAATGTTTATTTTGCAATAAATAAAAAATATATTATGCTTATCTTTCATCTCACTTATAGTTTGATTAATCATATTGATGAATTAAGGTCAACAAATTTTAATGAAAAAAATTTAAAACCGTCAATGTTACTCCCAAGCCCGAACCAAAAAATATTGAAAAAATTTTTGAAAAAAATTCTTATGCCCCCTCTTTTAAACCTTTCTAGTTTCCTCACAAGTATATATGGCTCTTAACATCTTGGTGGTTTCAGGAGGTGAAAAAGTAAGACGGGAGTTTATTTTCACGCTTGTTCTTATTTCTAAAGAAATAAAATTTTGTCATCCCCTACAAACCTTCGAGGTTATTCGATTATAAGTCTCCCAATTTTAGTCGACCACTTTTGCTTGGCTCATAATACCTACAAACCTAAGCGCATCACAATCGTTATATATGTAAATATAACGATTTAGGTGTTAGATATACAAATACATTAGAATTGTGTGGAATTTATAAAAATTTCCTCAAAAATAATCTTCCACATGATAATTGAGAAAGCAAAGCTAGCCGACAGTTTCGACTTGTCAACCCTGCAACATTTCAACCACTTTTATTTCATGCATAGCAAAAAGCAAATTTGAATTAGCCATCAGATAAGAAAAAACAAGATACACAGAACTAAATTAAACAGGAAGAAACCATCGCAACCTTAATTATCTAAAATCTGAAGCAAAACCAAACACTTGCAAACAATAATTGATAAAAAGTCAAAACCACCAATTCTACAAAGTTAAGTCTTAAGCGGACATCTCCTTTTATCAAAAGCTTTTAGGAATCATTACCCGGTTAGCGCTGCCCTCTAATTACAGAGGTAAGAATAAAGTATACTTTCCAAACAAAACTACAAGATAAAAGATAATCTTTCTTTATTTTTTTATTTTTTTTCTCTTTTACATAAATCAGCCCATATATAAGCAGTCAAATAAATATATGCCTAAAAATTCATAAATTTTTAAAGCATAGAGGATGCTATTTGGGAAACGTTTTTTTGTTTATGTTTTCATCAAAGCGATACAGATTTGCATGTATATTTATGGAAAATTTAAAAGATTTATCATAAGAACTACTAAGGGAGTCAATTGTATGAGTAAGACCACTTGGTATAAATGCTATGGAAGAATTAATAGGTGACACTAAAAACAATATTTTAGGATCTGTTTGGAGCAGCTGCAGCTTAGTTGCCCTAAGAAGCTGTTGTGGGGAAGCTGACTAGTTGTTTGTTGCAGCTGTTTAAAAACAGCTATGTGACGGTTGTTTTTTGACAAATGACAATTCTGCCTCTGTTTAGTAATGTTGTTTGTAACAGAACTGTGGTAGCCATATATTTGATACATGACTGTTTAGTAATGTTGTTTGTAACAGAACTGTGGTAGTCATATATTTGATACATGGCACTCCAAAATTAGCTATTTATAAAACTAATACACACTTTCATCTGTTTCTCAAATTTGTACTCATATATAAAAATTCACAATAAAAACCTCAACCCATATTTTTCAGTCTTACTGCCCCTGTTTAGTAATGCAATCGGAATGTTTTTTACATTTGAATAATTTTACGAAATTAGCACATTTACATTGCAGTTAAATATTTAATATCACACAAAAATAACACTATTATTAATTATTAAAAAAGCAAAATATATTCATAATTTATAAATACTCATCCTTCCTAATTTAATTCATATGCCCACAAAATTTCTCTTTTTTACTATAAAGAACTAAGGCCTCCGCTCATCTTCTCTTAAATAACAATAGAGAGGCTCTAAATCTGCAAACTCCTCAATTTGCAAAAAATATCCCTAAATACCTTGAATCGCCTCTCCTTCTCGTCAAGCTCATTGCAGCTCCGACCAGGGCGTTCCATCACATCTCGTAGATCTCCCGCACCTCTGCTTTGCCTCTCTCTGATTCCCGAACGCGATGCCTCTCACCGTAGTTAATGTTGACATATTTGGCCCATCGTTGCCGGCAATAGGGTAGCTGCTACGCTGGCGAGGAGGAGAAGAGCGAGCGACATATTTGAAATAGAGGTCCTCACTGTTCCAAAGCCAGCTACAGCATCGAAAGGGCGAAGAGAGGGGAAGCGGGGCTCGATCCATAAAAAGCAGAAGTCAAAAGGGGTTGCAGGACTCTTTCCGTGACCGGCGTTAACCAAAAATGCCCTGCGACGCTCTCCCGACGCGCTCCCAAACGGCCGCTCTCAAACGGAGCCTTAGTTTGATGGTCGGTTTGGATTCTGACTTACAGTTAACACTATGCTTGAACAAAACCAGATCTATTTGTCATACGGTCAAATATTGATCCAAACTCAACAAAAACAACAAACCCATATCCTACAAAGTGGGGTCGGCTCCATTGTGTCCTATTGAGTATCATATTTTCATTCAATTCTAATAAATTAAGACCATCTTTTATACAATATGCCTAAGTCTTTCAAGGTCTACCTTTGCCTTTCTTAACATAAGTCGACTTTAAAACATCTACTCTGCTAATCAGATCATCAGATGGTCGACACTTAATGTGACCAAGCCATTTAAGACAACTCTCTCTAATTTTGTTCTTCACTGGAGCTACATCAACCCTATCACGGATATATTCATTTGAACTCAACTCAACTAAAATATGTCTAACTCAAACCCAGGACATCTAATCATTTTATTATAAAGATGATGCATATTTGTTCCAGAAACACCAACCATTTAATATGAATATGACCCAACACAAAATCGCCTAATATGATACTAAAATAATTTGATCAATTTCAGGTTAATTTATAGTTATTTTGGCAAACCAAAATAATAATCGGGTTCGGGATCAAATTGTCAGGTCAGAACATTAATAGAAACCCGAACTTTGCCCACAAAAAATTGCATAAGGAATCATGAAAAGCCTAGGTTAATCCCCAGCAGCCAACAACTTAAATAATGAAAAACGGCAGCAAAATGCTTAAATCACAAAACACGCCACAAAGCCTTATGAGCTCTCCTGTAAGCAAACCATTATAGACTCTCAACTTTTCCTTTTGATGGTGCGCTTATAAAGATAAAAAAGGAGAAGACCTGCAGTCTTTTCCAAACTTTAGGATATCGGAAGCCCTACATTTTTAAGAAATAAAACCTCTCAGATAAAGAGAAAGCAAGAAAGTGGGAGACCATGATGGGTTGGATGGCTACTGGATTTTGTTGAAATTCAAAAGGGCCGCATTTCTCACAAACGCTAATAATGGCTAATAGCACTGAAATCCTTACAGCAGCTGTCATTCTTCACTCATTTTTTAATCATTTCATTGGCCCCCACGAACAATTAATCTCTCTCCCTCTCTCCCTCTCTCCCTCTCTCTCTCGGCCTCTGAAGGATAGAAGATCTCTACTTTTTTTGATGGATCGAATAAACAAAAGGACATGACTGACGTCAAATAACATGTAATGGTTTTTGTACGCACTTAACAGATGTGGATAACATTCACCCTGTGGATTAGACGTATGAAATAATGAAATTGAGGTGTCCCAAATCGGAAAGACTCATGGAGAAGAAACGACAAACTTAGAACTTATATATAAAAGCAAAGTCATACAACTTCAATAAGTAAATACCACTTATCTCTAATTCCTCCACAAGCAAACTCCTCGAAGTTCCTCTGAATCTCTTCCTTTATTTACAACACACAGAATTCTTCTTCAAAGCGGCAAGGAGGAAGAAATCTCTCACTTTCCCTCCACTCTTACAATCTCTCAAGAATTCCTCACAATACTAACCCTAAATTAAACTCTCTACACTCTAAAAGCAACAAAAACTTAGCGGACACCACAACGGGGATCCTCTTTTTTGGCCCAAATGTTTCTCTTAAAGTTGTAGAAGAGTTTTGCAGGAGTTGCCTAAGCGTCCCTTCAAAAATCATACACATTCAATGCACCTGTTAAGAGAATCCACCGTTCTCACCGTCGATGACTTCGATGGTGTCGTCGGCGGCCTCGATGGTGCCGTCGGCAGCCT